GGGACGGGGTAGGGGCTGGGCCGCGGCGGCCCGGTCGGGAGGGGCGGCAGCTGCCCAGACGAAGTGGCGCAGGCGGTGCCTGAACCAGCGGATGCTCCGACCCGCTGCCGCCCGGGTGTGGAGGCCGCGCTCCGCCCCGCAGTGCCGGGCGCGCTCCCCGCGCACACGTGTCCCCGCGGGGTGGGAGCTGGGGCCAGAGCCCCAGGAGGACCAGCCAGGCTGCGGGGGCGCACACGAAGCGCCCCCAGATGTGTGTGGACACGTGCGTGGCCATAGTCGCAGTCGCCTCGTGGAGGTGGGGTTGCGGCGAGGCCGGCTGAGCCCCAACAGTGAGGCAGGGGCCTCAGCCGGCCCGGAACAAGACGTGTGTCCCCCAACCCGCTTCTCCTTTGTCTGCCAGTGAGGCCTGGCACGGTTGGAGACCTCTTCCCGGCCCCTCCATCACCAAGACAGAAAGCACTTCTACAAGAGGAAAGGGACTGGGAGAGGCTGAAGGGGGGCAGGTGGCCAGTCCCCGCTCCTGAGCCTCACGCCTGTGGTCTTTCTTGGGGGTGGGGGAAGCTGGTGGCCTTATTTGTGGGAGACTCTATCCCTGCAGCTCTGGAAGAAGCAGTATTGTCCGGTAGGTGGTCTTTGGGCTCTCCTGCTCTCCAGCCTGCCTGCAGCCTCAGTTTACCTGCCTGGAAGGGGGGACAGTAAGGGCTCACTTATCCCTGGGGCCTCAGCGGCCTGGCTGGAGCTGCCAAGTTTCTATGGCAACATTGGAGTGGAAGGGGAGGGCCCTAGACAGCTGTCCCATAGCAGGGGTGGGAATCTCAGAGTGAAGACACAAATAGGAGGGCTTGGGGTCCAGACGGCCCCCCAGGCAAAGCCCCTGAAACCATCCTCCTGCTGACTTCGCAGGCCTTGGCATCTCTGGGTCTGGAAAACTGCGCCCCTCCCCACCGTCGACGTCTGTCAGGAGCGTCCCCCCAATCATCTAGGTGTCCATCACCCCAGACAGGAGGTAGGGTCTAGAGAAGAAGGGTGTTGCTCTCAGAGGCAGGGCTCAGTCAGTCCCCGGAGGGCAGTGGCAGACCCCAGGGAAGGAAGAGTGAGAAGGGAGACCCTGCCCCAAAGGACTCTACACCTGGGGTGGTGGGGATGGGGAGAGAGAGTTCAGGTGAAAGTTCAGAGGTCAGGCCGCTCCTGGGTGTGAGGGTGGTGAGGCAGAGGCTCTGAGTGTTGGCTTCCGTGCCTCCTGGACCTGCCAGGTGAGCAGGGCCTGTGGGTGGCAGCCCGTGGCCTCTGAGACGCAGCCACCCCTTCCCTGCCTCTTTCAGAGGATGGGCAAGCCTTCTGTGTCCCACTGTGAGGTTCCCCTGATATGCACCTGCCCTAATAGACACAGATCCCACAGACATAGTGGGTATCAACCCATCTCCACCCCACCGTGCTGGATTCCCCACGTAGATGCACCCAGGTGCCTGTGCACAGAAAGAGCCCCATCCCTGGTACCAGGGCCCTAGCAGCTCTGGGCCAGAAAACACTGCTGGGCTAGCCCACAGGCTGTAGACAGGAACCCACCAGGTGGCTGGAAGCATAGTGGCCAGGGGCTGGGGTCCTTGTGGGTGGGCTGCCTGGCCTTGCTGGGTTGGCCTGAGTCATACCCTTACCCCCCTGATCCCCCTCGGGCTCCAAGGCCGGGCCCTGTCCCCCAGAAGCTGTCTCACACCTTCCATCCCTTCTCCCAAAGCTGCAGGAAGCCCCAGCTTACCCAAAGTGAAAGAGAAAGTCGCCCCCCCCCAAGGCCCGCCCCCCCCGCCCCGTGGCCAATCCCGCGGCTCCCC